AGGGATGACACAATAAGTGCAAATGAAGTAGGGGTGAACGCGGTTCGATTTTGACGGTTTGTGCAATATCTTCAACCCAAACAATTTCATGCAATTTGGAATTTTTTTCAAACTAAACCAAACTATTTTATTTTTCTAACCAAACCAAATCAACCATAATTTGCGGTTTGGTTCGATTTTAATCTACGGTTGACCTATTCACAATATAGTAATATATCTAAAACAAATTAACATATAAGTTTAAACAAAAACTAATAATGATAAATGTTAAATTCCATTCATTTTCCCATGAAATCCGTGAAGAACGAATGTATTTTTCTTCATTTTTATTTACATTTTCTTGTTTGTCTTTCATATTGCCACATAGCAGTTGATAAATGCAGTATCATGTTTAGATGTACAAAGAATGATAGAGTTCAACTTTATTAGGAATTGAAAATTTTCAATCTCTAACTACTTTGAAAAAGTAGAAGGTAGTAGTACTAGTTAGAGAACTTTAACATTTTTCACACAATTAATACGTTCTGTCCTTCGTTTTTTCAAAACCACAAACAAGTTCATCAATCACATAAGCAGACAAACAATCATTTTTTTACCCGAACCACAACTCACAAATGTATAATAAGTTCAAGAGCAACAAATAAAAAATGAACAATGAAAAAATGGTTTGAATGAGAATTTGAGACTTATCGAGAGAGAAAAGAGAAAAAGGGGATTCATGTAGAAATTAACAGACTAACAAGTAAAATGCGACTGACGATTTGCGATTGAGAATCGCATTTCGTTCATATATGAGTTTTTTTTTTCATTTCATATGATTTGGGAATAATTTTAATTTAGTTTAGATATCGAGTCAAAATATGTGTTGTAGACTTATAAAACCATGAACCAATAATGATGAATTTATTTTACTTCATATGATTATTTCAATAGGTTGATTGTAATTTGTATTGTTAAATTTGTATTTTTTTCCGAAAAGTAGAAACTGTAAAATTTATATGTTAATAAAATTATTTTTTTAATTAAAAAACGGTTCGATTCGATTTTGCGTGGTTTTTGAAAATTGAAACCTTAACTAAACAATTCTTGAAATGTTTGGTTCGATTTGACAAAAAAAAAAAATCACGGGCCCACATGAACTCGAACCGACGATTTCGGTTCGATTTGTAGTTTCACGATTTTTTGGTGCAGCCCTAAAATAAAGGAAGATCTTGAATTATTTATATTGTAACTTGTAATATTTGTGATAAGAAATTCCTTTATTTTAAGGAAAGACGTGTTTTCTATTAGACACGCCACCTGCCTAGCTTGTTCACCTTGTTAGGGTTTCTTCATTGCATTTATGAAAACTTTAAACAAATTAGTTTTTTTTTTGGAAGAATGTATTTTGGAATAGTAAATTGATGGAAAATGTGTGGTTGAAAAAGAATGAAAAATTATTGATGTAATGAAAAATATTATTTTATTGAAGAAAGTGTAATTGAAAATAAGTAGAAGAATGAGAATGAAAATTTTAATGTGGCTCAAACAGTAGCTTAATCTACACGTGAACGGACCTATTGAATGTCAAAGAGTAAAATTACACTTTTGCTAAAATACACGAATAAGAAAGAAATTGAACTACCCATCTAATAATATTGACCATTTAAGATAGAATAGCAAAATTAGTGTTTTTTTTTTTTTGTGAAGGTTATCCAATTTTTGAATTGTTTCCAGGAATTTGGTCCCATTGGCCTTCAAGTTGATTGGTCATCTTTTTCACGTTGTGGCCTCAGCATTTTGGACTGTGCCTTGATATGTCACATTCCTTAATAATGCCACTGAAAGAAAGCTGATAGCTAAAGTGACCATGTCGTCCAAAAAAAATTGGATTACACGATTTAATTTAAAGACCTACCCAACATAAGGTGTGGTTTCAATTCAATCCTCCTATAGTCAGTCAACACGATCAATTGAAATGGTAGCAAATTCAAAGGAGGTGGGAAAGGGGGCCGTGGGGGGGCCCCAAGGTTTTCATATTTACACTTTTTTTTTTTTTTTGGCTTTTTAAATTTTTTTAATAAAAAATTACTTATAGTCTCGCCATAATGCCTCAAACATTTGTCGTGTTTCTATACTTCATTATATGAGCAAGACAAGTCGAATTGACGTAAAATAAAATTCTAATTAAATTACCATTAAAAGTGAAACAGAGTCGAGCTCATTTTTTAAAATCTGAAATATTCGTTGCAAAGGCTGCCATGAATATTTTGAAATGATCCCAAAATCTTAGTACGACGAGTGAAAAACATGGCACGAAAATAAGCTTAAAAAGCTGACGGAAAATAGTGTAAATGGTACACGTGTGTATTGTTTTCTCGTCGACTTTGCCTCTGTCCCTTACCATGGTCTAAGTCGTTTATTTAGGTCTATAGTGCGACCCTAATCAACAATCGAAGTCTTGGAGCATTTATTTGACAAAATACAGAGGATAAACTTTATAAATTTTTTAATATTACAGTACAAAAGAGAGAATGATTGGGAGAATATCCTGTTCTAGAACATGCACACCTATCATATAATTGATTTTGTTTAGTTTCTCACTAAACCACGTGTATCTTCTACTAATCAAAGGTTTCACACACAACTAGATGCTGATATCTTATCAACAGAAAATTACAAGTTTCATAAAAATATATGCAATTCACCAATAGATTTAGTCATCGGAAGAGATATAGTCGATGGCACATCGATACAAAAGTCATTTTCTATTTATCAAGAATTTTGGTAATTTCTCTTACCTTAATATTCGATCGTGATGGGGTCATGCTATACGTAACGTATATCTAATCATGTCGACCCATGCCGGATCAGGAGACGGAATAATAAGGGAACATATAGTCTAACCTCTGGAAGAGGTAACAGAGATTGGAGAGGCAGTCGGTAGAGTTGATTCAATCGTCAACTTGGCTTTCCTAATCAATTCTCAGACAACAAATTTCAAAAGCAGGAATCACTTTTCTCTCTTTTTGTTTTTTGGGAAAAAAATAAAAATAAAAAACAAGATTTTTATTCAGGTCATACAAAACTAAGAGGCTACCGACATACTTTTCATGCAAAAGCATGAAAATCATGTCACCACCCACTTCTTTCTCATTTTTTTAAAAAGACTGAAGACTTCTATAATTCATTTTACTTGTAATAAAATAGAGATACGATAATGTCCAAACATGCCAAAATCTCAGAATAATATTCATTCTAGGATTGATGCAAAGAAGTGATCCGCTGTGTTTGACTAAGACTTTTTAATTTTGGCTCATCGATCAAATTATTTTTCATTGAAACAAGCCAAATATCCACCACTAATTTCTAAATGATTTATAATTTCTCCTCATACACCAATTGAAGTTACTTTCTTTTTAAGCAATAATATAATGCCCTCGTTTGATAGGAATTAGAATAAATAATTAATTTTAATAATATATTTCACGTGACTCACAATTTAACTTTTATAAAAATTTATTAAATTCCTGTCTGCGTTGCGAGTCCGTGTACAAAATGGACAAGTAACTGTAGATGATGACACCTGGACCCAATTTCCGCGAACACCGACAAGATAATTAATTAAAGTGAACTCGTTAACACGAGAGCTGCAGCCTAAGTATTTTTTTTCCAAATATGTGTACGTGAAGACAGGTGGTTTAGGGTCCGCCACGAAACCTAAGAAATAATCTTTGAATGAAAGAGAAGTTATGTCTGGACGTGATATTTATTCGGCCAAGTGTCAATGACCAAGCGAGCTTTCCCCATATCCAAAATATGAGTCATTTTCCATTCACCCTCACAAAGATTATACCATATGTTAGCGATTAAAATTAATTTTTTAATAAATTATGATTAAAAAGTTTTGAATTTCATGAAATATATGGTTAAAATTGATTTAAATTATAATTCCTACCAAACGAGAGCTAATTAACAAGAGCTTCGATGGTTGAAGAAAATGATAATATTTTTCTTTTTATTTAAGTAAGCAAAATGACAATATATCATATTTTCAGTCATGAGAGAACTCGACATGTTGAGAGCTAACTCTTGAATCAGTACAACTCAATTGGAATGAAGACTTGTACCGTAATATTTCCAACTCAATTATATTTTGTCCCTTTTTAGTATTTTGTTCAATAAAAAACCACTTAAATTTTGCTTCATCGTCTTCTGTTTTCCACACCTATCTTTCTTAATAATATCCCAGGATGCTATGCCCTTGTTTGGTATAAACTAAATAATTCAGATTTTAATTTAAGTCAAAATCAAAAATTAATTTTAAAAACATGATCCACAACTTTTCAACCAAATCACACATTTCATCAACTTTTATTAAAATTTAATAGAAATTTTATTTTAATCACAGTCTAGGGCTCCCTAAAACTAAAATAAAAAAATAAAACCTTAAATATTCATTAATTTGCATTAATTACTAATAAGTAATAATTTAACTGTCCTTGATTTCCACTCGACCAGTCATTGAATTTAATAACAGCGTTAAATACGCTAATTTTTTAGTTTGGGGCTTTCCTTATTGCATTCATTTGTCGGGCTATAAAATAATAAAAAAATAAATTCATGCAGTCAAAGTTAATAAATGATTTTAACCACGAGATTTACAATTTTTCTGACATGGGCTCTTAATTTGGTATCTCAATAACCCAGAAAATTAGTAAAAAAAATGCATTTTAACAACAAATAAATAAAAATTTTGGAAAAAGTAACTTCATTTTTTTCTTCCAACTTAAAAGCTAAATACTGCACTATTGAAGCAATAAGTAGGGAACACAATATAGCTTTATTCGATCACTGAACTTTATGAATTGCAACACACTCTTATTTTGTTTTATATACTGATGAATTCACACACTCAAGTCACCAACAAACATATTCAAGGGGAAAAAATTATAATATTTCTACAAAAATAAAATCCAAAATAATTTAAAAACTTAAAATCCTAATACAATAATTATTTCCTAATTAAGGAGAGACAATAAAGCCACACTTAAGATAAGTGAGACCGTCGACATTGAAGACTGTGAACCACCGTTTGTATTATCGTTCGCCGTATTGTTACCGGAGCTCGGAGAAGTGCCATTGGTCCCTGGAGGAGATACACCCGGTAGCCCTGGCGTGGTTGACGAAGGTGACGGTGAAATTGACCCAGGCGTCGATGGAGTTACGGTAGACGGCGATGGAGAGGTTGCCGGGGTAAATTGCATGTTGGCAGGACTTGGAGAGATCGATGGAGAAGTGGCGGAACCACCGGTTGATGGAGAGGTGGCCGTGGGAGATGGCACGTTGCCATGGCTTGCTGGAGAAGGTGATGGAGAGGTGGTTCCGGGATATGGCACCCCTGCCGGGGAAGGCGATGGAGAGGTGGTTCCGGGATATGGCACGTTGCCATGGCCTGCCGGAGAAGGCGATGGAGAGGTGGATCCGGGAGATGGAACGTTGCCATGGCCTGCCGGAGAGGGTGACAATCCCGGTGTTAGGGCCGTTGGCGGTGGTTTCCCTGCCGGAAATGGTGACATGGCTGGTCCAGATGGTGACCCCGGAGAAAGTAACGGCGAACCAGGATAAGACCCTTTTGGTGGTGAAGCTGACGGAGCATGGCCGGCACCTCCTTTCGGAGGCGGAGCCTTTCCTGGAACCGGCACAAAAGGTGGCTTGTTATAGTTCCTCACAGCCAAAACAACAATAATCATCTTTTGACCTTTATCACAATTCCCTTTATTTCCACTAATAAAATAAAAAGGCCCCGATCGATCAAACTTGAACACTGAATTTCCATCTTCCATTCTGATTATTGGCTTCTCTGTATTACACTTTTCATAATCATCTTTATTCACCACCAGCACAGAATCCATTCCTTTCTTGTATTTGAACACTACAAGTACAACAACAAAGTTTCATTCAGACAAAAATACAGAATAAAAAAGAACTAAAAATAAATAAGAAAGTAACTCACAGAGAGTATCATTGACTTGAAATCTCATTCTTCCAGCCCAATTATTGTAATTTTCAGAAGGGTTCACGACCCATCCAGTCTTGCCTCCAACATTAAATTGATAAGCAAAAGAGGTGCATGTAAAACAGGCAAAAAATAAAATAACAAACAGAGCAGAATCCATGGAGATATTGAATGGGTTGGTAATACAACAAAGTTGAACTCAACAGAAACTGAATTATCAGAGAGAGAGAGAGAGAGGTGGAAACTGTAGAATGGTTGAGTTTGGAAATGGAGCTATATAGGGGTGAGGTGAGGTGGGATGGGGGGTTACTGTGGAGAAGTTACCGTTGCAAGAAGAAGCAATTACGGCAATAAAGTTCAAGCCAATTGCAATGAATGTGTACTATTGTAGTTACTGATATGGGCTCCTCTATGTCGGTTTCTGTTTCTGTATTAGAGTCGAAAGTTCAAGCCAATTGCAATGAATGTGTACTATTGTAGTTACTAATATGGGCTCCTCTATGTCGGTTTCTGTTTCTGTATTAGAGTTGAAAACTCAACGGTAATGAAAGATTGAAATTGTGATTCTGGAGTGGACTCATTTACATAAATGGGAGCCCACTGGGCCTTTGTTTCTTTAATAATCAAAACAAAATCAAGTGGTAATTACACAAATCCTTACTTTAAGTATTCAACATTCTAAAATCAGGTGGCAAGTTTAATATTTCAAAAATCAAATGTTTTAATTAATATATTATTATTAAATAAATATATTATTAAATTCAATTAATTTAGAAATCAACCCTACCTACCTACCTCTCTCCACCCACCCACCTCATTTCCCCCAAACCCCATTCTCTCTCTACCTCTCTTCTCTCTCGCTGCTCTCCTTCTCTCTACAAATCTCATCATCTCTACAACTCCACCTCTTTATCTTCTTTCTCTTTGTTCTCCCTCCTTAGCGTCGCTGGCGACCCATTTATCTTCGACAATCGGTGACAAATGAGATGCGCCTGTCAACGCCGTGAGAACGGAGACGCTGCAATCCTTCGGTTCTCTTTTCCGATCTGGCGGAAGCTGAGCCGTGATCTGATCGGCGTGCTTCATCGCCACATTGGCTAGCTCCAGCAACTTCTTCGACGCCGCTTTGACGCCTCCAGCTCCTGTGATTGCTTTGTGACTTCCTCCGCGAAGTAGATCTACCCACTCCGTCAGACACCGACGCCGCTGCGGTGCTGTTGTAATGAAGAGGCGAAGCAGAAGCAGCGTTGGGTGGATTTGAATGGTGGTGGTTTGTGGTAGTGGATTTGGCGGTTGGGTTGGGTTTGGATAAATTTTTGTGCTGTGGTGGTGATGATGTTTGTGTGGTGGTGGTGCGGTGGTAGGTAACGGTGGGCCGGTGGCAGTGTCGGTGGTTGTGGATGTTGGTGGCGTAGAGGGGGCAGTGGTGTCGTGGTTGTTGTAGCTGGTTGGATTTGGTGGTGGTACGTGTTAGTGGCGACAACGCCGCCAATGGCGTTGATGTCGTCTTCCACCATTTTCGGCCGTAGTGGATCTATTTTTTTTTTCTTTCGAGTTTGATTTATTGTTTTTTGTGTTGATGTTGGCGGCGTAGAGGGGGGCGGTGGTGCCCTGGTCGTTGTAGTTGGTTGGATTTGGTGGTGGTGCTATGTTAGTGGCGAGGACGACCGCCACTGTTTAGTTTGTGGGGTGTGATTTTTTGAGGCAGGTTGTGGTGGTGGATGATGATCGGAATCGGTAGTGGGACTGTGATTAAAAATTAACACGTGACTAATAAATTTGAAAATATGTGATTAATAGATAAAAATTATCATGTTATCAATCATTATAAACAAACAATCATGCATTGTGACTTGTGACCTGGCCTATGACTTGATTTATGACTTGTGATCTGGCCTGTGACTTGTGATATGGGTTGTGACTCTTGACAAGTGACTTGTGACATGGATTGTGACTTGTGACCGTAAAAAAAACATGTTAAACGTACAAAAAAATATAGCGGAGCAGTCACCGGAAAAATCGACGCCGGAACGGTTGCCGGAATAGGAGTAGTAGCCGGAACAGTCGTCGGAAAGTTCGCCGAAGTAGGGCGGTGATCAGAACGGTCGCCGGAGTGGTAGGGGTAGTGAAGGTGGGATGGGTTAATAATATTATATTATAATTAAATATTTAATAATAAATTAATTTAATAATTTACTATTTCATAAATAAAAATTTAAAAAAAATCTGATTTTGTTAACTTTAAAGTTGTGTTCTTATTTTTGAAATAGACTAAATTTATACTCTTGAATATGTAATCTTCCTTAAAATCATTCATCGCCAAACGTGTTTATTAACTGATTGAATATTAAACCCATGTTTGATAGTTATTATAAAAAAAACATTAAAAAAAATGATATTTTGAATAGTGATTTTAAAAAAAATTATGTGATTAAAAAGTAAGAAATTTTTTTGAGTTTACGTGCAAAACATTTTAATAAAAATAAATGAGAAATGAAGAGTTTTACTTGAAAGAGAATCAAACATAAGATAAAGGGTGTCAAGATAAGAAAAAATCTCCATATTATTCTTCATTACCACAACAATAATTTATTATTCCATTTTATTTGATTTGATACCAGAGAATCATATGCGATGCTATGTTCTCAGAGGATGATAATCCCAATTAAGTTGGTAAACAAGAGCATCTCATTCGTGTAAGTATTACGATGTGATCATTACACTTCTCTCTTCATGTGCTTTTTTTCTTTTCTTTTTTTATCTTTTATTTCAAGCTTTATAAAAATAGATTTATAGATTCATGCTTGAGGTAATAGCTTACTAAGACGGTGATCAGTAGCTGATTCGAGATGACGAGTAGTTACATTGGAATTGAGACATGGCCCAAACTCTTATGCGAGGCAGTAGTGGAGAATTTTCTGCAATGGACAAAGTCTGACGGAGGAATACGACCTGGAGATAGAGGTGAGAAAATAAATCGATTGAATTTTAATCGAGTTATAAATTGTAAGCCTGCCATGTGTCTATTTTTTTTCGTATTCATACACAAGATAAAATAAAAATACATGAATCATTTTTTCTACTTCCACTATTCGGTTGCTCCAACAATTGAAAAAAGTATTGTTTAAGTTGAGGCCAAGCGATCAACTTCTAAAAGATCTTAGAATCCAGGCAAAGTTCTTTTAGTATGGTGCTTGTACTATTTGCGTTGATGCCAAGTGGTCAACTTCTAGAAGATTTCAAAATCTCTATATTCTTATAATTTGTATTTCACTATGCAAACTTTGAGTAGTGTGTACATGATTTGTTTTACATCAGGCCAGATGTTCCTAAGTTTGGCACGACAGAGTTGGGCATTTTAGGCAAGTCTGCTTGAGTATGCAACATTGTGCCGTTACAATACGATCGAGTCATTATATCTTGATTCAATGTTGTGGAGGGTTTTGTGATTTGATTCATATATTGCAAGGCGGGGACGGACCCAGGGGCAAAAAAAAAATGATAATAAATTCTACTGAATTGATACATAGAGCTTCAAAATTTAATGTGCTTGGAAACCGTCCCTGCTGCAAGATGACATTCATTTAATGCTATTTTTGTTAAATCTTTGAGATCGTCTGCTTGATTAAGGCCCAAAAATATGCAAAAGCCCAAATTCAGTACCAATTACCAAACACGGAATTTAACGGGTTTTAGTTTGGTCAACTCCCACATTAAGCCCAACTTTCACGGGCCAGTAATAGAATTCGATGGGTATTAGTTTGATCCATCATCGAATTTGCAATATATGCCAATATCTGCACGAAAAGGTTAAACTTCATCCGCGGTCACTGAATTTTCAGCAAAATTTCAATTAGAATATTATGTAAGTATAAATTGACATATCATGCAACAATTACGTATAAAATTATAAGAATGACAATATCTCGGTCCCGCCCTGCATTGGCCCATCTCGATGGGGGAATTGAAGCAAAGATGGAAAAGGAGACATGGTTACAAAATAATGTAAATAATTCATAAGAATAAATGAGTAAATATGGAGCGATAAAGGATTTTAAATCTACGCCGCGCCTCTTAAAAATCCTCGTCGAGGTGGGAGGCAAGGAGGGTGTTCGCGTTGTCATCTCTATAAGATCAATTACAGTATCATTGTCCATTAAACAATTTTTACCAATTTTGGAGATGGCGCGTGACAAGAAAATTGAAGCAAAAATTAGTATTCAATTACTTAATTTGAAATTAAATTGAAACATAATAAAATTGAAGTAACCCAATTAAAATAATTGTATCCCTCACTCTTTCTAGATATTATTATGTACGCATTACTACAATTATTTTGATATTAATTTTGAATACATTGAAGCACGCTTGTATTTATTATTAATTAGATAAAATTTGCGTCTTAAAATATTAATCACATCACTATCCTTTCTATTTTGATAAAATAAATAAATAAATTTCCCACTTAGCAAACTAGATTAATAAAGTGAATTATTTAGAGTGGGATGGCTAACTTTATAAAAGGTATCCATTCAATTCAATAAAATAGAAGCGTGTCAAATGGTTATAATTGATGACTCCACTCAGTTCAAAGCTTACCAACGAAGTTCCAACTCTTGATATCATATGGTGTGTGGGGCCCATATGCCACCTTTAAACTCATGCAAGTCTCTCCCAGCCTTGGAATAAATAAAGTGAAGAACAAAAAATTAAATAAAAATGAAGTGCTCACACACTAAAGATTGGTTAGGATACCTTTAAAATCCTATTCCAGGTAATCATTTGGGGACCCTTTTTTTTTTTTCTTTGTATAATTATTAGTTTAAGAGGTACCATGGGCAACTAGTTTCTATTTCTCCAACTTTTCACGTAGTACATTCGTCGAAAAACTGAAGTTGTATATTTTGATTTTTAAAAATTTACGTTTTTGAATAACATTTGGATCCTAAAGTTGTAAAATGGTGATGTAGACACTGGTCTCGACAAAGATAAATGAGGATATTGGTGTTGATTCAGCCTTGACGTGTCACTTGTCAATAGAGAAGATCATGGATGCATTCATTATGAGACTTTAGAGATGGTCGTTGTCAGTGTACAAATTCGTCCATACGTCATTCAAATTATTGTCTTATACTCAGAAATAATCCTTAAAGTTGGACA